GTGACCAGCAGGCCAGGCTTTGCCATCTTTCATCCTGGGTGCAGCCATGTAGGAAACAACCATATTGAAACAGCAGGCAAAGTGAGCACTCGCCCTGCCAGATGGGCAGCAGGGGAAAGGATTTAGGCTTCTGAGGCACAATCCCTCCAGTATTAAACATCTGACATACAGGAGTGCTGGTAAGAGATTGCACTTCATTTACTGGCCCCATCACCTAAGGGGCACAGAGGTTAGTAACCCTGTTATGTGACACTGACTCCAGTGGCTATTGTCACGCCTCCCCTGGGATGTGCAGCTCTGCACCAGCACAGTGCGGGCCTGTGGTTAAATGCTGCAATCTGGCCGTATGTATGTAATACTCTGCACTTTAGGTATGTGGTACAGTAACTTGAGCAATCTAAATAATGGGCATTTAGTCATATAGCCTTGCAAATTAGGATCACACTTTAATGCAGTTATTCATTGTCTCCTGTGTCTTAAAAATATACTAAATCTATCACTGGAGTGCAGTGTTTCCAAACTCCCAGTATTGAGGGAAATTTTGCATTGGGTAAGAAAAGTTACTTTGCACCCAGGGACATTTCAAAAGAGAGTTTTGTGTGTAGAATTTTTATTTAATGTAAGGATAGACTGTGAAATATGCATGCTACATTAAATGCATGGTGCCAAGATCATTTTAGTGAAAAATCTCACATTTGCAAATAACTAATTTAGTTCTTTGTCTCTTATAACAAACTTTTTTTCTTCCCCCTGCATGCATTCTTATCTTTGAGTGAGTATACTGATAGTATTTCATTGCTTTGGGCTGATAGGAAACTGAAGGAAACTGTGCTTACAGATTTGCTGCTAGATGTTTTTTAAAATTACAGTTGTATTTAACCAAATATTCAAAAAGCAGAGTAAATATTTCTGAGGACTCATTGTCAGTTGAATATGAGGCGTTAATGTTTGTTGGCTTGCTCCTCTGTGATCTGCAAAGAAGGTTAGGAAATATCTTAGGTCTCATCTTTCCTGTTATGATAAATAACTGATCTGTGGTCAGAGCCGTAAAGTTCATAACCTACCCAGAAAAACTTAGGAACAAACCACTTCTTACCACTGCTGCTGCAACATTATGTAAAGTGGAAAACCTATTTTCCTGGGGAGGGGTGCTGCTGAAAGATGATTTCACAAAAAGAGGAAGCTCCTGCTGTTTATCCTGCTTGATCCAAAAGTGCAACATTTCCTGTGGCCAGATCTGCAGTAAAATCAAAGGGGGTAGCCATTTTCTGTGGTCTATTGCTTCCTACAACATATGCATGTGAGAGAGGAAGAAAATTACCATTTATTATAAAACCACCCCTAGTCCTCCTTATCTGATTAATCAATTAAAAACAATGATGCATTGATAATAACACCACAATGTCCAACTCATTATCTGCTTTTCACATCTGTCTAGATGAAATGTATCAGTAAAACTCCTGCAAACATAGGGAATAGTTTGTTGACAAAATCTATGCTTGCAGGAGGTCATTCAAATGTTTGATTGTGCAAAGCAGATAAATCTTGGGTTTTAGAGAATCAGCATGATTGTTTCAGACCAATCTAAAAATTAAGACCCTGTTAATAATCAACACTTAAAGCCCAATCCTGCCATCCTCCTGGCACAAGCAAAACTTCTACTGAACTCATTGGGAATTTTGCATACGCAAAGACTGTGTTAACTTCTTTTTGTGTGTGTTTAATTTTCATGGAAAGCGATGGGCAACCTTATAAAAATATAGATAGATCAACTTTAGCATCAGGACTAATGGTAAATGCAAACAGACACAAAGGAAAACAGATTGACTTTTCACTGAGTGATAGATAGCCTATTAGCTTTTATTAAGTATTCACAAGCAATTTAATCAAGCAAGGTGTGTGCCTGACAGTAGTTGCATTGTTTGAGATCAAGTGTCAGTGCACTGATTAATGCAGACAACACTCACCAGCCTGGGAGTGCACAAATTTGTCCAAAATACTTGAGGGACTTCATTTAGCTGTATAAAAATATTTTCCAGTTACTTAGGCACATCCAGACTGTGGCAGGTGAGTAGAAAGGGCATTTTGGCTTTCAGTAGTATATATATAATGTTACATAAAACTGCATTGAATTAACATTATTAAAGTTGCAAAATCAAGCTCTTAAGAGCTAGGAAATGCCAGAATTAAGGTTCTCTGTGCAACTCTTAATTCAGCATTCCTTGTGTGTACGCATTATGACAGTCTTTAGTTACAAGATCACATACTATTTTTCCACAGGGCCCTCATTCAGGGCACAGGATGGACAGTGCTTACTTAATGAGCAGCTAGTCAGTATTTTGTCTTATCCTCATTATTCAATGTATGGTTCTAGGCCTTATTTACTGCACACTAGTCAAACTGTGCTCTGAAGACAGAATTATTAATTTCCCCATTGGTGTTTCTATGACACACATCTCTACAGCAGCTGAGAGGTTTATAAATGTGAATGAATTTATTTTTGCAACATCCCTGTGAGATGAGAGTTTGGCACTGCCCCCATTTTGCTTTTGGGGTGCTGAGGCACAGAGAAACTAAGATCCAAACCATCCACTAATTTTGGGTGCCCATCTGAAACACTGAAGACCTGATTTTTCAGAGTACTTGGCATCACATAATACTCTATATATTAAAGCACAGCTCCTAATGATGTCAGCTGCAGCTGCAAGTCGTCAGCACCTGAGTTTTAAGTCAGGTACCCCAAAAATGAAAAATAAACTGTTAGTGACCATCTATGCCAAGCTGGGTTTAAGTGACTTGCTTGGCATCACATAGGAACTCTGTGGAAGAGGCAAGGATAGAATCATATTTTCCAGGGCAGCATTCAACTGCCTTAATTCTGAGTCCATCCTTTATCTTTCTGCATTCCCTTGCCTCATTCACAACACACCTTCCCACTTTTGCAACAAATGGGACAGGAGTCCTACAGACAGCACTCTTCTACACTACTCAATCCTGATTCAGCCCCAGAGTAGATCCATCCTGTGCACTGTATGAGACAGAAATAGTACATAATTAAAGGCTGTACCATAATGCATATGCACAAAGGGGCCAAATTAAGGTTGCACAGGCAACTTTAATTCTGGCATTTCCTAATTTTTGCATGCTTGACTTTGAAACTTTAATGATATTATTTTAATGTTGGGTTTTTGGGTGTAATTTTGTAGGTTATTAAAAAAGCAAAATGAAAAACAGAAATTCTATCATATGGGATCATAGTGACATCCATGTGGTTCACCAGCAGGGTTGCAACCTTTAGATCATTAGCACAGACCTCTGCCACTTGAGCTAATGGAGTAACTGATATTACTGGTATATGGATAAACATGACCTCCAACCTATTCCTGTCCTGGTCATCTCTCTTTTCCACCCCTTGCGCCTCATCTCAGTCCAATTCCGCTCACCTAGTCAGTCCCCATATCCGCTCCTCAGACTTCTCATCCCAGTCCCAGTCTCTTTACCCAGCCATTCCTAATTCCTTCCTCCTAGCTCTTTGTCCCCCATCTGTTTACCCAGCCAGTCACAGTTCCCCCATCCGGCTCCTTATCCAATCTCTGTCAATCTCCCACCCTTGCTTTCATTCACCCCCACCCTCCATTTCCTATTCCCACACTGGTTCCCAGTCCCAGTCTCTCTCCCAGACTCCTCATCCAAACTCAGTATCAACCCCCTGACTCCTGATCCCAATTTCTGTGTTCAGCCAGTCCCAGTTCTTCCCCTGTCTCCCAGATCCTCATCAGATCTGTCTCCCTGCTTCCTCCCCTCCTTCCTCTCCCCCACAGGTTCTCAGTCCCAAGCTCCTCCCCTTCCAGCTCCTCCTCCGATCTCAGTCCTCCCACACCTACTGGCTTCCACTCTTTCCTCCCCAGCTGCCATTCCCAATCTCCTTGCCCAGTCAGTCACAGTTTCGCCCCATGTGTTATATTTGTGACAATTCCCACCTGTACTAAGCATTTTTTTCAAGATACAAAAATAGAAAGTGCTGTCTAATCGATTTCAAAATTATATCAGTAGATCCCTACAATGCCATATGCTGCTCACCAATAGAACAAGCCATACACAATGAAATATATGGGAGCAGAGTTGTCTTTCTTCTTTGTTTAATACTGTGAGTTGGAATCAAGTCTGGCATGAATTAATAGTTATCATAAAAAGTTTATATTTGCCCACAGTTACATGCCTGGGGTAGTACAGTTTGCTGCCCTATTCTGAAAGCAGAGAAATAACTTGGATATTGTGTGACTGGCCCTTGCTGTACAGTCAAATTATATACAAAATCAGGTGCCAACCAACATCCTTGATAACAAAAAATGCTCCTATTTGGCTGTGAAAACTTTTCAAGAAAAGAGGAGAGCGGTCTAATGGTTAGCGCAGGAGGCTTGGGAATGAGGACTCCTGGGTTCTGTTTCTGCCCCTGATTTGCTGTGCGACATCGAGCAAATGCCTTAGTAAAATAGGGATAGAGATCCTCCCTGTCATCCAGGGACATGTGAGACCTAACAAATCAGGGCTAGTCTACACTAGAGGTGCTACATTAGTGCAGCTGCACCACTGTAGCGTGTCTGGTGAAGCTATGATGGTGGCAGAAGTTCTCCTACCAACATAGCGCTGTCCACATTGGCTCTTACGTCGGTGTAAGTTATGTCACTCAGGGAGGTGGCTTATTCTACACTCCACCAAAGTAAGTGGTGGTGTAGACCCGGCCCTAGGGTTTGTCAAAGCTGGTTCAGTCAGTGCCAAAGAACATGCAGCCACAGGAGCTCTTAAAGGCTGGGGGCTTGATCCAAGGCAGACAGGTTGAAAGGCTAGGGAGATGTAATATCTATGCCAGTGCCATGTGATGTACAACATGATGTATATAGTGATTATAATACTGTTAGCCCACTGAGAATGGATCTTCTTGTTAAATTCAGGGAGAGAGGCACATCACCATTTTTTACTCTCTTCTTTCTGTTCAACAGGAAACCTCTGTCCGTTGCCGGAACTCCTTCCATAGACTCATACTCAGCAGTTCTGGAAACATCCCCTTGAACGATCCCGTGGTCTGACTCTCCAACCACTCACTGCCACCTGGCACAGTAAAGGAATTTGACTCAGGTAGGTAGGGAAAAAGGTTGCATAACCAGGGTTTGATTGTCAGTATCCAAATATGTATGGAAATGCCTTCTTCTTTTGCACACACACAGCTAGTTGCCTGCTTGCAAATGAAAAGTGCATCCCAGTCTAGGCACAAATCCATGATCACTGTGATTATATGAATACTTTTCATGCCTATCTGGTCATTCCTTTGCCAGAGCAGCAGTTTCTCTATCTGATGCTTTATCTAGCATTGCTCCCTGGCTGTTATGGGAGGATAATCCAGAAAAATTGCTTGAAAACTGAATTTGAAGATGAAATTAGTGTGCAAATCATTCCTTAAGAGCAAACAGCGCATACAATTTTGTTATTTGTAAGTTACAGAATATGAAAAATTATGTAATATGTTTTTATAATCTACACTAGCCATTATGCCAATTGATCCAATCCAAATCCAAATAATCTGTGAAGGAATCTAAGGTCTGATTATTTCTACTCTCTTTTGCTCTCAATGTTCTTGCTGCAGAAAAATGCTTATAATGGCAATTTTGTGTTACCTATTTTGCACTACTTAGATTGTGAGTTAGAAATTAGTCAGAGATTAGGAAACATTACAAGGTTGTCAAAAAACTGGCATGTTAAGACAAAATCAGTTAATCTTTAGCCTCACTTAGAGAGAGGAAATGTAATTGCACCATTGGACTGTGTTTTACAGTCATTATCACTTAAAAAGCCCTTCAGATAATTCTATAATTAGCAAGGGACATGTAACAGAAGAAAAAATCTGACACTGAAGGAGCTCTCTCAATGGTTTCATCCAAGAATGGGATTTAGTAGATACACCAGTGCAATCTAGTGAAACAAAACTCCACTGAGAGACACAAACCAGAGTTTATTGATATCTTAGAGCAAGAGACACCTGGGCCTTGACTGATTGGCAAGACTCACACAGCTGCTTGTGCTCATCTCTAACTAACTGAAACCCGAGCAAACTGTAGTCACAAAACGGTAAACAAGTGTTCATGCTAATCAAACAACAGAACGCAGTTGCTAAGAATAGCTTTCATCCCAATTATTTTTTCGGTCAGGTTCACTTAATTAAAACCTACACACTTTTTTGCATATGTTTATGTTTACACCCTACCTGTCACCACTCACTTAGGATGATAAGAATATGAATAGAGATTAACTATTGTTCTGTTTTTGTTTTGAAATAAAAACAGCTACTATTTCCCAGTGCATGGCACTTAAATCTTGGGACTATTCACTGGCACTTTGTATTGGTATGGCTGCAGATTTGCTCCAGGGTTTGTAGAATTAATGGGATGTTCTAATGATCTTGTCCTTTTCTAGGAAACTCAAGTAGGTTTCCATGTGACCAAAATCAAATCTCAGGCTTTGGTTTGATAAAACTTGTCTAAAGAAATTATCAGGGTTGTGTTCTAGCATGGTAAGAGGATAGCACGGGATCTCCCCTATCACATGTTACTAGAGATGATTGAAAATTGTCCACCCACATTTTTTCACTGGAATATGGTAGTTTGGAGTAAGAGAAATTTTGGCAGAAAAAAATCTGGTTTTGTTAAAAATTTGAGGTTTCCTTGAAGTATGGGAACCCATACTTTATTCATATATATGTACACCGAGAGAGAGAGAGAAAATCCTCTTGTCTAAATTTTTCTTGCAAAAAAGTCATTTCCCAACCAGCTCTACTTGTAACATTTAAACGTAGACTAGACAAAGCACTATAGAATGTACAATAAGGAACAACACTGCAGTCGAAGGGAAATGATTTAGCAGCACTTATGCAACCAGTGAGGTGCCAAGGTAGATGTGACCACTACATTTTATGGGATAGGCTTATGGCTTTCCCTTTCCCCTCATACACGTATGGAAGCCCATACTTCCAAAGATAAGAACCTAAATAGGGCATTCACACCTTTTAGCCAATGCTTAAATTGACATGAAGTTGCATAAATGCCCATTTCAGGTGTCTGTTTGCCAATTTAAAGATCCGGATTTGGGATGGGGAGTGGATGTCCTAATTAGGAAGCTATGTTGGAGAAATTGAGCCATCCCTCCAACACACACACCTGATAAATCCCTGATGTCTCACAGGACCTTATTTTAAACAGACCATTCCCTCCACACACACTCATCAACACCAAGCATCAGCAATTCTCCGACACACTTTCATTTTGCTAAATGTGCCATCTCCAGCTGCTCTCAGAATGCTGGGGAATCCAGGTTGGCTGGAAAGAAGTTATTTTGTGTTCGTGAAACATTCCATTACAGGGAGGGTGCATTCTCTCCTTTAGTAAATTATGTCCATATAGCCATGCAAAGAATCCCAATCGCATAATAACACCAACACAGTCACTTAGGATTGAATGCTGCATGTGCAGAGGTATCTCTGAGGGAATGTGAATCCTTTCCTTTGTAGCTTGGCTTCCAGAACTGCTCAGCTGCATGGCTCTCTCAGTCAAATACTCCTGAGACATGTTTATACCATAACAGAAACCAGATGTTGTGAATTAATTTTATAATTGCACTGCTGAAAAGAGAATACAAAGTGGCCAAATATCACTGGGCAGCAACCACAGGAAAGTGTCCCGTTAAAGATATGTAACCCAAATGGAGCATAACAGTTTGACTATACTAAACATTTGGGATAAATGCTGAAATTTAATATTTAACTCACCTTTGTATTCACCTGTGCTGTCTCTGAGGGGTGTTTGGAACCCTTATTGAATTTACTCGGGGCCTGATTTTCAAATTTAGAGGTATGTAAATTCCACATATCTTACATGCACAATTGATCGTATCCATGGCAAATGGCCAGTTAGATATACAACTGTCCATCTGCATGCATAAATACTTGAAATACAATCACACACTATTTATAGACACAAGCTAAGGGCATCGCTAGCTTTGAAAATAAATCCCTCAGAATGTTCTGAGATGGTTACGGTTCACATCTGACTTTTGTATTTGTGTTTTGTTTTATTTAATTAAATCGGCCAAATTTCAACATTTGTAAGCCATTGCAGCTGCTTAAATCAGGTCTGGATTTGGACCAATATGATCTGTCTGCTAGAATAATAGTTTGTCATAATCAGAAATGGGTAAAAGTATCATTAGCATAAGTGCTGAGTTTCTAATCTGCTGGAGGGTGCTCCCCCCAGCTCTGTCCGGGCCCCGCCCCCACTCCACCCCTTCTCCTAAGGCCCCACCCTGCTTCTTACACCCTCACTGCCCCCACTCCATCTCTTCCCACCCCTTTCCCATCCAGTTCCGCCCCTCCCCCAAATGCACTACGCCCTTGCTCCTCCTCCTTACCTCCAATGCCTCCTGACGCCACGAAACAGCTGATCCGTGGCAGGCAGTAGGCGCTGGGAAGGAGTGGGAGATGCTGATCGGTGGGGCATGCGGGTGGGCAGGAGGCGCTGGGGGGAGGGGGAGGTTCTGGTAAGGGGGCTGACAGTATGTGCTCAGCACCCACCATTTTTTTCCCGTGGGTGCTCCAGCCCCAGAGCACCCATGGAGTCAGCGCGTATGATTATTAGTAGTCTAGCATGATTTAGTAAACAGGATTTCAGGTTGCAAGATTTTTTTCAAATATTAGAACTTCAAGAATAGAAATAGTTATTCAGCATTTGCTATACAGCCAGACCGGTTGAGTTTTCTAATAAAGTAAATAAATAAATAAATAAATAAAACAAGGATATGTTGCAATCTTAGCCAGATAACTCAAGATCTTGATCATTCTCTAACTGCAGTTAATTTTGACTTTGAAATCCCAGGCTAGTCCCACAGGACCTAAGCAACTTCAAGGGTTACAATACTTCTTTAGTCAATTCAAAACAATATAAAATTTCCTTCTCTGCTGAGGACATTCCGATGTTTTGTTTAAACTTGTTGACAAAGTCACCTCAGTGTCTTGGTATAAAAGTAATTGGACAAAGTCAGAGTTTATGAATGGTCTTTGTTCACCGCTAGTAATTAATTATCTACCTCTTAATTGGATGCTTCAGGGTTTAACACCCCTTACGGCAGAATATTTATATATCTTTGTACAACGGCTACATTAAACCAGGATAGCATGGCCCAAATTATTTTGGGAAAAGGATTGGCAATGAATAAGATGATGATTGTTCCAAAAAACAATTAGAGATTGAGTGTACCGCCAGTTGGTATAAATCTTAGAACTCTTCACAAAATGTCTTCATTATTAGTAACATTTCTCTGAAAGAAGAATATTACAGAATTGGCATTAAGAAAGCCCTGGAAAATGAATAAATGCCAGGTTTTGTTTGGAGGCCAAGTATCATTTTGGTTCTCACCTCCTGAAACTGAAGGAGACACTCTGTGATTTTAAGCAGAGGAGCTCAAGCAACTAGGTGTATTTAAAGCTCTGTCTATAGTGTATCTCCCCCAAAGAATCAAGGTTCATGTTGGCGTGATTCACCTGTTCATGTAAAAGGGACTTGCTGCTGGCCTAAGCAGGTGTATCTCCCTTGACATTAATGACTTTGGCCAGTAGTGAATTTGGCCTCATATTCCGAGGCTTCACATACCATAGATGATGTATGTGTGTAGGCCTGTCCTGCTGACAAAAGATAACTTGCATTTTGGCTGCTCAAAGCAGGTAAAAAAAAAGATTCAGCAATCAGACTGGGATTCGCTGGCTGTGAAAAACTAATGTCATCCCCAGGCTCCATTGTTGGGATGCTGCTGTGCTCCAACAGTCCCCAGCTGTGGAACAGTCCTGTGACTGTCATTACAACTGAGTGTAATTCAGAGCAGCCCTGTGGATGCTCTAGATTATGTCAGGAACCAAAATGGTCCCCAGTGATGCCCAGGATAATGAAGAACTAAGGGGGCATGGACCGATCTTTGCCACTTCCCTCAGCGGCACTAAGCAGAGTGCTGGAGCAGCTGAGGATCTAGCTCAATCTCATTTCCAAAATGCATCTTTTCCATATTCCTCAGGAACGGTTAATATGGGTCATTCACAAACC